GGTATAATATACTTGCAGTAGTAGTAGTTGTTGTTATTGTTGGTGTTGTTCTTGTTGTAGTAGAATTAGCAGTAGTAGTAGTAGTAGTAGTAGTAGTTGTTGTTGTTGTAGTAGAAGTAGTAGTAGGTTAAAGTCATGGTACACTTGAAGTGATTGTAGAAATAGTAGAAGTAGTACAAGTAGTAGTAGTAGTAGTAGTAGTAGTAGTAGTTGAAGGTATAGTATACTTGCAGTAGTAGTAGTAGTAGTAGTAGTAGTAGTAGTAGTAGTAGTAGTAGTAGTAATAGTTGTTGTTGTTGTTGTTGTAGTAGAAGAAGTAGTAGGTTAAAGTTATGGTACACTTGAAGTGATTGTAGATTGTGATAGTAGTAGTAGTAGTAGTAGTAGTAGTAGTTGTTGTTGTTGTTGTTGTAGTAGAAGTAGTAGTAGGTTAAAGTTATAGTACACTTGACGTGATTGTAGAAATAATAGAAGTAGTACAAGTAGTAGTAGTAGTAGTAGTAGTAGTAGTAGTAGTAGTAGAAGTAGTAGAAGTAGTAGTAGAAGTAGTAGTAGTAGTAGTAGTAGTAGTAGTAGTAGAAGTAGTAGTAGTAGTAGTAGTTGTTGTTGTTGTAGTAGAAATAGTAGAAGTAGTAGTAGTAGAAGCAGTAGTAGTAGTAGTAGTTGTTGTTGTTGTAGTAGAAGTAGTAGTAGGTTAAAGTCATGGTACACTTGAAGTTATTGTAGAAATAGTAGTAGTAGTAGTAGTAGTAGTAGTAGTAGTAGTAGTAGAAGTAGTAGTAGTAGTAGAAGAAGTAGTAGTAGTAGTAGTAGTTGTTGTTGTTGTTGTTGTTGTTGTTGTTGTTGTTGTTGTTGTAGTAGAAGTAGTAGTAGGTTAAAGTTATGCTACACTTGACGTGATTGTAGAAATAATAGAAGTAGTACAAGTAGTGGTAGTAGTTGCAGTAGTAGTAGTAGTGGTAGTAGTTGTAGTAGTGGTCGTCGTATTAGTAGTAGTTGAAGGTATAATATACTTGCAGTAGTAGTAGTTGTTGTTATTGTTGGTGTTGTTCTTGTTGTAGTAGAATTAGCAGTAGTAGTAGTAGTAGTAGTAGTAGTTGTTGTTGTTGTAGTAGAAGTAGTAGTAGGTTAAAGTTATGCTACACTTGACGTGATTGTAGAAATAATAGAAGTAGTACAAGTAGTGGTAGTAGTTGCAGTAGTAGTAGTAGTGGTAGTAGTTGTAGTAGTGGTCGTCGTATTAGTAGTAGTTGAAGGTATAATATACTTGCAGTAGTAGTAGTTGTTGTTATTGTTGGTGTTGTTCTTGTTGTAGTAGAATTAGCAGTAGTAGTAGTAGTAGTAGTAGTAGTTGTTGTTGTTGTAGTAGAAGTAGTAGTAGGTTAAAGTCATGGTACACTTGAAGTGATTGTAGAAATAGTAGAAGTAGTACAAGTAGTAGTAGTAGTAGTAGTAGTAGTAGTAGTTGAAGGTATAGTATACTTGCAGTAGTAGTAGTAGTAGTAGTAGTAGTAGTAGTAGTAGTAGTAGTAGTAGTAATAGTTGTTGTTGTTGTTGTTGTAGTAGAAGAAGTAGTAGGTTAAAGTTATGGTACACTTGAAGTGATTGTAGATTGTGATAGTAGTAGTAGTAGTAGTAGTAGTAGTAGTAGTAGTTGAAGGTATAGTATACTTGCAGTAGTAGTAGTAGTAGTAGTTGAAGGTATAGTATACTTGCAGTAGTAGTAGTAGTAGTAGTAGTAGTAGTAGTAGTAGTAGTAGTAGTTGTTGTTGTTGTAGTAGAAGAAGTAGTAGGTTAAAGTTATGGTACACTTGAAGTGATTGTAGATTGTGATAGTAGTAGTAGTAGTAGTAGTAGTAGTAGTAGTAGTAGTAGCAGTAGCAGTTCAAGGTATAGTATACTTGAAGTAGTAGTAGTAGTAGTAGTAGTAGTAGTAGTAGTAGTAGTAGTAGAAGTAATACTAGTACTGTCTCGTCGAATAGATGCTGTTGACTGTTGACTCTTCCTCACATGGCGTGCGAGATCAGATTTTGCATTTTGTCATTTTTGATATTTGTTTTTACAAATCAAATTTTGCTCAGGGGAAATTTTGTGAAATGAACTTGAACCTACATCTTTTCAATATAAATTACCATTATCTGTGCCTTGGGACTAGCGTGCGGGAATTATGGTATGTGTATGTGCAGTTATCTCCCTTTGACCACTACGAAATGAATATTCTCTTTTATGACGTCTTGGCCCCACACATAGTGGCCTTGACCGTCAAACAAGGCTTCACGCGAAGAAATAACAAGATACACATTTATATGTCTCCACACTGATGGACAAGGCGGGTAGCCCATGGCTAAACATTAATTTGTTTAATGAAGACTGGGGTAAGGAAATAAACTTACAACCACTTGACCCCTTCAACGTTCGAAATGTTGGAAATGTGTGTCGAAAAAAGGAAATATATTTATTCATAAAGAGAAGTTGTGTATAATGTTGTTTTATTTTTAAAAGTTTTAAATCAAATTATATTTTACAATTAAATACAACCTTGTAGAAGCATTCTTTGAGTGTCTACTAAGACAATTCACTTTACAAACAGGAACTGGTATTCCACTGTGGCAAATGCACAGGTTAATTTCAGAGATTATTCCCAGTTGTATGAGGGGTCGGCGCTTGATTTTAGTCGGATACAAGTTCATGGTCAAGACCGGACGTCATACTTCCAAATTTTTTCAAACTCGAAATGTTCTCAAAGAGAATGTCCAGATACCATTAACACTAACGATGACTTTGTCACGAAGCACAATCTTATCTATCAGCATTAGGCTGATGAATCACTGGTGAAGTTTCTGACAAACTACCAACAAACAAATCACCTCGAGGGGTGGCATTCAAACCTGAGAAGACTTGAAGTAGCCATCTAAATCCATGGAGATACTACAGGTTGAGGAAGACAATACTGAGACCACAATCATCAAGCTTCGATCAGGTAGTTCGATGTCACCCCAGAAGAAGATTATCGGAACTTAGGCCATGCCCTTGTCAGGAAGAAGCGACAACTTCTTGCCAACCAGAAACCAGTGAACGATTGCCGTTTCTCATCTAGTTGGACTGTGAATTATGACAATTGAAATGTTAAATAGAAATTCGACAAAAAAGACAATATTTTGTACAGTGATAATAATTTTTATCAATTATTTGTTTTAAATATTAAAGTAAATGAATGCTGGATGTACGCTTTTACGAATGTATACAAGGTATGTTGCTAAAACAAACACGATGGGGATTATGCCTTGGCCAGCTGCTGAACAAACAGGAAGTCACCGTTCATGGTACCCAAACCGGATCTAGACTACCAGTTGTCCCACTTCCATTCTGTGGATGCCTCGGTGGCTGCGTTGGCTACATTGCTGACTTTGTGTGCTTGCGGTTAGATGCCTCACTCTGAGAGTGTGGGTTCGAGTCCTGGATGGGACTTAACCCAAAAGGTACAAGAATTTGTACTTTACTAAGAAAGTGCTATCTCAAATATGACATATGTTACAAAGGATATTAGTCATAAACAGTTCGTTACAGACATTATTTGTGACCGCCTCCGTGGTCTAGTGGTAGAGCGTCCGCCCGGAGAGCGGAAGGTCCGGGGTTCGGTCCCCGGCCGCGTCATACCAAAAGAAGTTAAAAGATGGTACTTGTTCTTACCCTGTCTGGCGCTCGGCATTAAGGGGCTAAAACAAGGACTGGTCGGCTCGGAGTCAGTATACTGTGTCTGAATGGGGTATTCATGTTAAACTGCGGCATGGTATCTCATTGGGCTAGCACTATAAATCGGCATCAGTCCGGACTAGTACAAGCAGTCACACACACACAAACACACGTGCATGCACACGTCGCTATAATGCAATAATCTTGGACGCGATGTTAAACCCAGTATCACATCACCTCGCAGACATTATTTGTTGTTATTATTAAATTCTAATTATTCACAATGTCAAAATCGAAGATTGTTTCACATCCACAGCAATGTATGCAAGGTTTTTTTTTGTAGGATTAACAGAAACAGCAACACTTTTAGATTGACCGCTTCCTGACGCTGCTAAGCATCACAAGTCGACATATCAGCTTATGTAAACATTCATCACGCATCGTTGCACCGGTAGCTTTAGGCCACGCTCCCAAATAGTTTTGTTTTGGAATCCGATTACGGAGCGTGTGATTTCAGCACGTTCACTTGGACATTTAAATACTTTCTGCGAATGTTATGATATTTGTTCTCTTGGGAATTGACTTCAAGTATCTTGAAAAAAATTATATTCGCATCAAAATCGCAATCCTTTTTTTCATTTGCCCTTTAAGATATTTTCATTTGCAAATCTAACATACGATAAAATCAATTGAGAGGTATAGTTTCGTTTGCTCCTCAGTTTATTGTCAGAATGACATGATCAACAGATGTCTCCCCCGTACGCAGAAACACTTGACAGCAATCGTGACGGCATTAAGGCATTCAGGCAATGGGAACGATCACTGAACGATTATATCAGTACCGAACAAAAACAAAACAAACTCGTTTTGATAGCCCAATATACCGTTACATGTCTTTTATAGCCGTGGGCAGCTGCAATACTGCTGATGCGGCTTAAAGAAATATTTCCCCCGTTTAGATCCGGGTTAGAATAGGTTTTCAGAAAAAATTTCAAGAGGCGATTAACGGGATTGGGTGGTCAGGCTCGCTGACTTGGTTGATGCGTGGATCACAATCGTTTGGATCGATGCTCACGATATCAATCACTAGATTGTCTGGTCAAGACACGATTATTTACAGACCGCCGTCATATAGCTGAAATATTGCGTGTGGCGATAAACAAACAAACAAACAAACAAATAAAGTAATATTTACTCACTCACTGCCTTTTATAAAGACAGAAACGATGATGAAAAATGTTTTCCAACTTGTCATTGTCTCATGGCTAGTCTCTAAATAGATACTGAAATTATAAATAACGACCAGCGACTGTAGGGAAATTGCTTTTATTGAAACAATGTCTCAGCAGCCACAGCAGCTTCATCACTACATACTCTCTCTGTACACACAACTAGATGATAGGTACATTGTACACGCCTGGTGTAGTCTACACGGAATATCACATGGGACGCTTGTAAGCACAGGGTTTTATTAACAACACAGTCATTATTGCTATAGCACGCTGGGTTGTCGCCTGTTAAATATATATAACACTATACAGTTCCTGTCAATATTTAACGATAGTTCCTAATTACGAGCCGTGTATTACTGATGTTTGGCCCTGAACATGGTTATAAGCGCGAGTGCTTTATATGTTGTATCAGACATCATGCCGTTCCTATCAAGATTTTACATAATCTCTTTTAAGGTCTTCTGGTACCACCTTTTGTCCCCGAACGAGAGTTAAATAGGTCAGCCATCCGGTCTATGTATGTCAAAGAGAAAAAAAAGTATACTTAGATCACAGCGATACATTTCCGCCTTTTGGCTCCGAGCAAGGATTAACATTGTACTGTCATACGGGCAAATTATTTATGTCAAAGAGAAAGTACTTTATATGGTAAGATTACAACGTTATATCCTCATTAGACGTTTTGTTTAGCTGTTCTTCAGCCCTGAACAAGGTTTACATATAGCTACAAGCTGACATACTGAATACGCCAGCCAACTAGACTAGTACGATACATAATCCTCGTTTGGGGCACTGCATTGTCATGAACAAGGGCTTTCAGGTGACCAGAGACATTTGAACCAGACAATACATATTCTACTATTTGTTATAATACATTCACATGGTCTTTTCACGCTTCTCTCCGCCCGCCCTGAATATGGATATATAGAGCTGTCAATTTATGGTATATACATGTACCATATACTATACACTTCTACAATATGCCGACGATATACCTTGGGCCCCAAATAAGACTACACAACAAGTCCGTCATCCATATCAGAGAGATGACATACTATATTTGTTCTACCACTCTCAGCACTTATTACTACTCGGTATGGGCCGTGTATTGCCGCACTACGACCCTGATCGAGCCTTTTTAATTTTCAGTGGTATTTACAAGAATTCCCTACACAAGGCTTGTTCTTTTCCTCCATTTTGGGTATTGACATCCATGTTATGTAACTTTCACTAAAGATTAATGAAATTAATTTCTAGATATGACATTTAATATTGGTACAAATTATCAAAATTACTCTATAAAAGGACATTTATCATAACCCCTGCGTCAATAAGATTATTAGTCATCGGTGATTTGGTACTAATTGTGATGAAGGGAGAGGTGTAAGGCCTTTAATGACATAGTTTACTTTACATGTATGTGACATTTCATATTAACATTCTTACAATTTCTTTTCCTTATTCTGTAACTGTCCTACAACGAAATGAAACGTTGCAACATTTGCAGCAATATTGGGGATACAATTGTAGTAAATATATGTTTATGAATTAATGAAAAATGAAGTGGCTATGAATACGGACACTTGTCATATACTAAACAGAAGCTGTAACCATCACAGAAATATAAATATGATTACGAAATCTATTTCATTTACATCATAAAGACGCCGATATCATAAATCTATATACATGTAATACATCATATAAATATACACCGTTTTATAAACATATATGGGTTTCCATGCCAACAGGTGACTAACTGGGGATTTGCTCTACGTCTAATCATCTACATGTATCACAAACACCTAGAAACGTCATGCATATTTGTTTGATTTGCTCTACATCGGAATTTACATCAGGACAAGGAATCAATATGACTACGGATTAACGAACAACCCTGTTCTTAAGTCACTCCAAGAAATGCCAGTACCCTGAAACGTGATCATTGTCATCATCCGATACCACTTTGTTTGTCAACAATAATTACGTTCAAATTCATGCAAGTCCATTCGTTTACCATCCGTTGTCACTCGGGTCTTTCCGTAATTTGCAATAAAACAAAATGCCTGTTCCGGAATGAGTCGATTTTTCACAAATGATCTCGAAATGGAGTTTTTGCAATATATTACAGAATAAAATTGTGAAAATATATGTCGCCCACGCAATGAATCATATTCACAAGCAACCATCAAACGTCCGTACGTTGTTCATAAATATTTTATATTCTCTTCAATCCAACCAATACAATCCGATCTAGGTAACTCTTTGTATCCTTATCAATTCCTTACAAACTAAGGTCATTATTCCAACACTAGTAATCAGTTTGAAGTCAAAGACGTTCTTTAGTTTCCGGAACATAACGATCTATTCCGAATGCCTGTGTTGCCTCGGCTAATCTTCAAAGTAGCCATCTTCTTCATCCGAGTTGGCGTTGCTGCGCGTGGTCTGATTGTAGGTCACGTACTGCACTGGACATTGGTCATTCATGATCAGCGACTGGGAACAGAAAGCGAAATGTTTAAAGTAAATAAATGCGGAATCGGAGTTCACAGTGCCATCCAATGTATGCTTAAATGTCGTGATTAGGTGGCGTTATTGACGGGACAATGCGTGACAGTATGATTGGCCAGTGGCATACATCATTCTATAACATTCATACAGAAGAAAAATATTTTGGTTTAGATATCTATTTGATATTCAACTCCTTGGTATATAACTACCGCATGAATCTTAATACAGTTTGAAAATGACAACTGATGGCGTGCATATAGCATCTTCCCAGGGCAGCTAAGTTTATTGACTATGAAAGTCCAGACCCACCAATGCCCATCTATTTTGACCAAAATAGTTTAAATTTGAAAGGTTTCTTTAAACGTTGACATATCCGAATGTTTCCATCTGTATAGGTCTTCAGCAACCCATACTTGCCGTAAAAAAGTGACTCTGCTTGTCATAAAAGGCGACTAACGGGATCGGGTGGTCAGGCTCGCTGACTTGGTTGATACATGTCATCGATCCCAATTGCGTGGATCGATGCTCATGATATTAATCACTGGACTGTCTGGTTCAGACTCGATTATTTACAGACCGCCGCCATATAGCTTGAATATTGTTGAGTGCGGCGTTAAACAACAAATCAAACCAAAAACCATCTGTATACTGGTCAATATTTTGACCTATGACCTGTGGCTGAAGCAATGTTCTTCTTTTAGACATGAACGCAGATGGCTTTTCATCTAAATCTTGACAAGCGTGTTTCACATCAGCACGTTTTGACGCATGACGCATGTCAGCTCGCCTAATGGCCACTAGCAATAAATCAAAGACAGCGTCACAACGTGACAATCACTTTCAGCTCAATATAGTGGTCCGCATTCAGCAAGTTTACCCTGCATGTAAAACGGAAGCTGCAACTCTCATCACTTCAAGAAAACGCAGCATTGCCTTTGGTAAAAAAGTACGACTCGATATCTATCAAAGCGCCTCTATTTCAGGATGTATTGACAACATCGACAGTCTTCCACTGAACGTAATTGCAATTGATATAGTGATATTTCTGGCTGTGTTGCCTTTAATGTCACGTGACCGTGTGATGCGTCTTACCATCTTCTCCTCCCGACCCTGGGGGTTGCGCAGGAAGTACATGAGTGGGGCGTACAGGATGTTCACAATGGCGATGATCCACAGCAACCTGGGAAAAATCAACATTTAAAAAAATAACGTCTTTCTCTTGACAGTTGACAGATTTGCATGTAAAACATAAATGTTTCAAGGGTATGGCTTGATGAGTTGTGGTCACATAATACCCCCTTATATTCTTGAAAAGAATGATTATGCTTCACATTGTTGGTATGTAGTACATTGTTGCAGACCGCCTCCGTGGTCTAGTGGTAGAGCGTCCGCCCGGAGAGCGGAAGGTTTAGGGTTTTATCCCCGGCTGCGTCATACCAAAAGACGTTAGTACAAGCAGCCACACACACACGTACAGCACGTCGCTATATAAGTGCAATAATCTTGGACGCGTCGTTAAACCCCATTTCACCTCACCTCACATTGTTGCAATGTGTTTTTCAGAAAAAAAACCAACATTTTGGCTAATACTTTAAATTTAAAAAAAAAAAATATCTGTCTCAATACAGAACCAACCACATCCACACCCCAGAATATTATATGGTCGGTCCATCACTAAAATAGGAAACTGAACATTATACTTGTGTCCCATGTTTGTTAAATGACAGTGACGTTCATTAACCAGGTCTTGTCGATTTACCTGGCGGGCAAAACAAACATACACTTGAAAACTGCAAAACGTTACTAGGGTGAGTGAGTGAGGTTTTACGCCGCTTTTAGCAATATTCCAGCAATATTACGACAGGGGACATCACAAATGGGCTTCACACGTTGTACCCATGTCGGGATTCGAACCGGGGTTTTCGGCGTGACGAGCGAACGCTTTAACCACTAGGCTACCCGACCACCCCTCCTAGGGTGAAAACTGTCGTTAAAGTATTATCGATTCATGAAACTACAAGCATTATTGCATGATGAAGCTACAATAAATAATGTTAGATGAAATCATAAATCGTTGAATCACTATCAAAGCACTTATTGTTTCATGAAAGATCAACTGATTTATAAGATAAATTAAAAATGCACCGATATGTGGCTTTCGATAATCTGGTTCAGTAATACACATCAAATATATATAATGCAAGTGAACAAACTTGTTGGTGGTAGAGGAGGGCGGTCGGGTAGCCTGATGGTTAAAGCGTTCGCTCGTCACGCTGAAGACCCGGGTTCGATTCCCGACATGGGTACAATGTGTGAAGCCCATTTCTGGTGTCCCCCGCCGTGATATTGCTGGAATATTGCTAAAAGCGGCGTAAAATCAAACTCACTCACTCACTCTTGGTGGTAGAGGAGATAGTGTCTATGGTGTTAAGCTGATTCATCACTCGTGACGTCATAATATGTTAATCATGATCTACCGACTGCAAGCGTTTAGTAATACATACCACGAGAAACCAATTGTCTGCACAATGGACCCGCTTATGGCTGGACCTGAAAAGAGGACCAACACACTGAAAAACTGATACATGTGCATTTACAAAAACGTTTCCGAGTGTCAAAGACCCCGGTTGTTATACTGCATGGAACTAAAGATGCAACAGAAAAAGGAAAGTAGTCACGGCGTAGAGGTCGCTCTTTTGTAAGTGGGACCCTCTGAAGGGCTTGCTGTGGCAATTAAACGTGCGTGAAATTCATGGAAGGGAATGGCGTTCAGTACTTCGGTGTATAAGGAAAAAAGACACACCTATTGCAAATCCGAGACAGAAGGCGACGTCAGCGATGGCGTAGACACTGCCGTAGACGGAGACGTGACGGAGGTCCACCAAGTAGGCCATGTGCGGCATCATCGACGAGTCCACCATACCTGCAAGCAGTGGGACATCAGTGCATGGGCCAACGTAGCCGTGACAATACATATATATATAACGAGGTAATGTGGTAGTTGGTCGTGTGGTAGTAGCAGTTGTAGTCGAAGTCCTATTTTTAGTAGACGTATAGTTGTAGCAGTAGGTAGTTCTCGTTGTAGAGTAGTAGTAGTAGTAGTAGTGGTAGTAGTAGTAGTAGTAGTAGTGGTAGTAGTAGTGGTAGTAGTAGTAGTACTAGTAGTGGTGATGGTGAGGTGGATGTAGCAGTAGTAGTAGTAGTAGTGGTAGTAGTAGTGGTGGTAGTAGTAGTAGTAGTCGTAGAAGTAGTAGTAGTAGTGGTAGTAGTAGTAGAAGTAGTAGTAGTAGTATTAGTAGCAATAAAAGGAGAAGTGGTGATGGTGATGGTGAGGTGGATGTAGCAGTAGTAGTAGTAGTAGTTGTTGTAGTAGTAGTAGTAGTAGTAGTAGTAGTGGTAGTGGTAGTAGTAGTAGAAGTAATAGTCGTAGTAGTAGTAGTCGTAGTAGTAGTAGTCGCAGTAGTAGTAGTCGTAGTAGCAGTACTAGTAGTAGTAGTAGTAGTAGAAGCAATATTAGTACCAATAATAGTAGTAGTGGTGATGGTGATGGTGAGGTGGATGTAGTAGTAGTAGTCGTAGCAATAGTAGTAGTGGTGGTTGTGGTAGTAGCAAGTAGTAGTAGTAGTAGTAGTAGTACTAGTAGTAGTAGTGGTTTGGTTGGGGTAGTAGTAGCAGTAGTAGTCGTAGTCGCAATAGTTGTACTGGTGGTGGTTATGGGATGGTTGTAGTAGTGGTGGTGGTGGCAGTAGTAGTAGTCGTCGTCGTAGAAGTAGTAGTAGTGGTAGTAGTAGAAGTAGTATTAGTAGCAATAATAGGAGTAGTGGTGATGGTGATGGTGAGGTGAATGTAGCAGTAGCAGTAGTAGTAGTAGTAGTCGTAGAAGTAGTAGTAGTAGTGGTAGTAGTAGAAGTAGTATTAGTAGCAATAATAGGAGTAGTGGTGATGGTGATGGTGAGGTGGATGTAGTAGTAGTAGTCGTAGCAATAGTAGTAGTAGTAGTGGTAGTGGTAGTGGTAGTGGTAGTGGTAGAAGTAGTATTAGTAGCAATAATAGTAGCAGCGGTGATGGTGATGGTGAGGTGGATTTAGTAGTAGTAGTAGTAGTAGTAGTAGTAGTAGTAGTAGTAAGATGGTTACAGTAGCAGATGGAACTTAGTTCTTGTTAAGGGAGAATTTCCTAAAGTAAAAGTTGCTGCAGGTGTTGTTAGTGCAATAGTCCTTGTTGGATGAAGAGACGTGAGCGCAGTGCAGGTATTAACAGTACAGTTTAAACAATCAACAATCGGTGCCTACATCCCACATCACCTCGCCTGGCCCCATCAACTGTGTCAACACCCAGCTTCAATATTCCACCTTATAACAAGAGACTCAAGGTCACCCTTTACCCAACCCACATCCACCCTTGTGACAAGCGTCCCATCATTCATAGCTCAAAACATAATCCGACTCCTTAACGGAGGGCGTGTGTCTTGTTGAAGTAAAAGCCCCGATCTATCAATCTCAGACGCAGAAGAGTTCCTTTCCGGTTTGTTAACGATCCATTTCCGGCTACCAGGTAAAGCTCTTACGCAAGGAATTGATACTTACCAATTGCAAAACCTAGTCCAAAATTCGGCGCTATAAGGTGCCCGATGTTTTTGGAGAATGGGATCTGAAATAAATAGCATAAAATGACGTGATAGATGTGGGTCTGTCAGTGTCTATATTGAGACCAGGTGTACAGGGCTACAAAAGGATTTACATTCGGTTTAAGCTGTTGAAAAGTACACGTCTCGTAAAGACCCGATCCTATGATGAATAACCCAACTGGAAGCAATTGATTAGCCAGAGCACTTCGCATCACATGTAGTCGCTGTCGGTTCTAATGCCTGGCCAATTCTGCTCGTTTTTTATTCTCTTATGAAAAATTGTTAAACTTTCTTTACGGGATGGTATCTTCCCGAGGCAAGGGAGTCAACTGACTCTGAAAGTCCAGTTTCCACCAGTGGCTATTACGAGTGATGTCCCTAATTCTATGCTTCTACTAATGACCAATCAGATTCCACCTCTCGAATCACTTGCATTTGTTTCAAACCAAATGGCCGTGCCCAGTGAAACCGATCTGATCGATGATCAAGATCTGTATTGTGATAAAACTGGTCTTATCTCGCGCAGTGAATCAAATCACGTGAGCACCTTGATTAAAAACATGAACAGATTTGGAAAATATCTGTCGACGACCAGTTAACGGTACACATCCTTCGCAAATCCTGCAGTCGACAGAAATCTGCAGGTTGAAATCCATGTTGTTTACAAACCGGATGTCGATTTCGTTACGCGATTCTGATTGGATAATGCATATAATCGTTAGTCTAGACAAAATATAACTCCATAATTCCAGCCTAGTTCGGCAAGGGTGGAAACTTTTACAGTCAGTGAACTCCATTGCCCCGGTAAGTTAGGTGGTATACGATACTTCCACTTAATATGTCATCAAACGTATTTGTTTTTTTAATTAAAGCACGTCTGATGTGTTGCCTTGTTCTCAGTTAATGGCCTCCATTCATGTCCCTACCATTCCGTTGTTTCAGTAAAGGCTACAGTGGTGTAAGTAGTGCAGTTATTGGAAGCTCGTTCTAGTGGGTCATAATTGTTGTGGTGACGTGTTCACTTGGCCGTGAATACTTACGAAGAAAAGACATACTCCAATAACAAACATGCCGATCATTGCACTCAGCCACCTGAAACAAGAATGAGTGAGTGAGTGACTCTTTAAAGGGGGCCTCCACTTGGATTAAAAGGCATTTCTACCACGTTTGGTTCAAGTCATTCCTGATTAGTCCTACTGCAAGACGGCATCATGATTAGTCCTACTAAATATAATATAAATATTAAACGTTAACGCTAGAGAATAATCAGTGAGTGACTCTTTAAAGGGGGCCTCCACTTGGATCAAAAGGCATTTCTACCACGTTTAGTTCACGTCATTCCTGATTAGTCCTACTACAAGACGGCATCATGATTAGTCCTACTAAATATAATATAAATATTAAACGTTAACGCTAGAGAATAATCAGTGAGGGACTCTTTAAAGGAGGCCTCCACTTGGATCAAAAGGCATTTCTTACACGTTTGGTTCAAGTCATTCCTGATTAGTCCTACTACAACACGGCATTATGATTAGTCCTACTAAATATAATATAAATATTAAACGTTAACGCTAGAGAATAATCAGTGAGTGACTCTTTAAAGGGGGCCTCCACTTGGATCAAAAGGCATTTCTTACACGTTTGGTTCAAGTCATTCCTGATTAGTCCTACTATAAAGACGGCATCATGATTAGATCTACTAAATATAATATAAATATTAAACGTTAACGCTAGAGAATAATCAGTGAGTGACTCTTTAAAGGGGGCCTCCACTTGGATCAAAAGGCATTTCTTACACGTTTGGTTCAAGTCATTCCTGATTAGTCCTACTACAAGACGGCATTATGATTAGTCCTACTAAATATAATATAAATATTAAACGTTAACGCTAGAGAATAATCAGTGAGTGACCCTTTAAAGGGGGCCTCCACTTGGATCAAAAGGCATTTCTTCACGTTTGGTTCAAGTCATTCCTGATTAGTCCTACTATAAAGACGGCATCATGATTAGATCTACTAAATATAATATAAATATTAAACGTTAACGCTAGAGAATAATCAGTGAGTGACTCTTTAAAGGGGGCCTCCACTTGGATCAAAAGGCATTTCTTACACGTTTGGTTCAAGTCATTCCTGATTAGTCCTACTATAAAGACGGCATCATGATTAGATCTACTAAATATAATATAAATATTAAACGTTAACGCTAGAGAATAATCAGTGAGTGACTCTTTAAAGGAGGCCTCCACTTGGATCAAAAGGCATTTCTTACACGTTTGGTTCAAGTCATTCCTGATTAGTCCTACTATAAAGACGGCATCATGATTAGATCTACTAAATATAATATAAATATTAAACGTTAACGCTAGAGAATAATCAGTGAGTGACTCTTTAAAGGGGGCCTCCACTTGGATCAAAAGGCATTTCTTACACGTTTGGTTCAAGTCATTCCTGATTAGTCCTACTAGAAGACGGCATCATGATTAGATCTACTAAATATAATATAAATATTAAACGTTAACGCTAGAGAATAATCAGTGAGTGACTCTTTAAAGGGGGCCTCCACTTGGATCAAAAGGCATTTCTTACACGTTTGGTTCAAGTCATTCCTGATTAGTCCTACTAGAAGACGGCATCATGATTAGATCTACTAAATATAATATAAATATTAAACGTTAACGCTAGAGAATAATCAGTGAGTGACTCTTTAAAGGAGGCCTCCACTTGGATCAAAAGGCATTTCTTACACGTTTGGTTCAAGTCATTCCTGATTAGTCCTACTAGAAGACGGCATTATGAATCGCCCTGCCGAAACAGATTCCATGGGGCGTAAAAGCAAAACAGTGGTGAAAAGAACATATATGTATATAAATGGATCACAGAAGTCAGTGATGTCACCAGGTGTTCGCGAAAAGGGTAAGCATGTCCTGCTCTACCGATAGCACCCGCCACTGACGTTGTTTGCGTAAAAGAGTAAGTGTTTGTTTACTGAACATAAATTGCATGGCGTGTCTGTATATGCTACTGAGCAAGGGAAATGAGCACTGACTGCTTCGTTAATTGCACTGACAACAAAATACTCGCTGGTTATAAAAAAATTATTCTAAAGGAAAATACCCCCATGGATAACCTTATAAAGTGATAAAGTCAAACAGACATTTTTACGATTAATTACTGCAAAACTGACAGTTCTTAGATAACAATTCACAATTTATAACAACCCACATTTTGCTACATATTCAAAGTGGATATTCAACTTGTGATGCTATAAATACACAACATTTAATGTTATAAAAATAATTTTAAATGTTCATATGGTTTGATACCTATTGCTTCTGACAGGTCAGTACTGGATAACTGAAAATCCACTTGAATATCTCATTCCAAACCTGTTATGCCATGTTGGTCTGCCCTCAACAAGCTTAATTCATTTATTTTTTGTTTGTCACCACACACATCAATATTCCAGCCATACGACGACTGTCTGTACATAATCGAGTCTGGACCAAACAATCCAGTGATTGATATCTTAAGCACAAATGCATGCCGTCGGGGTACAGAAACACGCGTTCAACCAAGTCACCGAGCCTGACCACTCGCTCCATTTAGTCGCCTCTTACGACCAGACGTAGTTCCAATTCTAATCCAAAAACCAAAGCGCTCATATTGTACCCACCTCCCCATTTTGTGGGCCAGAGGACCAAATATATTGGTACCAATGAGATAGGACAAGCTTGCTGGTAAGAAGGCCACCCCTGTAACAGAAAATCAGTTGAAAATTATTCTGAAAATGTGGAAAAATATTAATATTTTGCACAGTTCCATTTTATTATCACAACATTTAATATGGTTGATAACGAAGGGGTGGTTTAACCTTCCTATCCTTAATCTGACAAAACGGTGAAAGAACTGCAAAATACGATAACACATCAGTTCATTATTCTCTCAACCTAATAAATAACAATGGGGCCTTTAAAACCTCTGAATTCTGATTGATGAAACTCGAGCAGTGATGCATCACTTGCAAGTTATTTGCTGCTAATGCGTTTAAGTGAGTGAGTAAGTGAGTGAGTTGGGTTTAACACCACTTCTAACTGTATTCCAGTATATCAAGGCGTGTCAGATTAATTTGGGAGGAAAGCCCGAAGTGATGCAGGTCTCAGACGTGAAACCCACGAGCACGGGTATGGTGCTGAAAAACCTAGAAACATAATCGGGGCGAACCTGGATTCGAACCCACAATCAGAGGTTTCTGGGACGCAACTCTGCACAGCGAATCGCGGCGCCTTTGACGACTGGACCACCTGTGCCCCCCGTTATGAGTTTAAGCCACAGTTAACCTACCCTGTTGCCATTCCTTGGCACCCATGGTTTCGTACATCCAGATTGGCAGGGATGGTTCCATCATGGCGATACCCATGTTGGCGAACGTGATGGATCCTGAAGCGATAACCATAAAGCGATGACGTAAAATATAATTGTTTGATTAGACTTTCTCATTCTTTGTGAAGCATAAACAGCAACAAAGTCGTTGGTCATGTGGGTTTTTTTAAATATTTATGCTTGCAATAATGGACATAAACACCTTCTAGAATTACAAAATATTTCAATTTCAATTTGGCTTCGCGACACGACACGCCATGACAAGCACATATGCTATGCGTCAGTATTGAATGCATCTCTTTTAGAGAACTTCGCTAACCATCCGATTGATGGAAGTCTTAGTGGATGAACTGATTCAATATATATTCCCACATGACATCCATTGAACAATGCCGCCCACATTCAATAGCCACACTACCCATCCAATCCCCAAGACAGTGGAATCTTAAACGCTAAGAACATCCCCCGAACCAAACCATACCGAGATTATTACCCAAGCATGTGTGTTATTCAGCGACAGTGTCACAATGGATGTGGCGTCAGTACACAGTAACGTCACAAAATGTGTCTCTTTACGTCAACATTGCTGTAGGATGCGCGAAGCTTTATTAACTCTCTTCTCTTGTCCCATTCGGACTATCAGCATTAACTGTTCCTGCAGTGTTTGTTGTTTGTTTGTTTGTTTTCAAAGCCGGACTCGGCAATATTCCAGCTACATGATGGCGGCCCGTACATAATCGAGTCTGGACCATACAATCCAATGATTGATGTTATAAGTAACGATCAACGTCGTCGAGGTACGATAACTTGACAATAAAGCAACAAAATCCTTTGCATATCCAATAGAAATCTCTGCATAAAACAGAGTCGATTGTACGATTCCGACTATATCACGAGTATGTGTTTATGAATCACTGTCACATAGTGATGTTACGAATATTCGCGAAACCAGTCCTCGATCCCTTGATGTAGAATCGCATCCTACGACCAGCATTGATGCTAGGGACTAATTTTAACCCCAAATCCTCACCTGCAGCCAGAAGGATGTAGGGATCCTTGAGGAGGTTCTTCAGAGAGGATCCTTCCTGCGACTCCGGCTTGACGGATGGCTGAAGAACCAGAAGCTGCAGACCTACAATGAAATCAGCATTACACAACACTGAATGAAAACACAAGACTCAAGATATCCCTTCAACTGAATTTCGCACCGAAATAAGAATTTCCATCTTTCACATTTAATATTCCTGGTAACTTTTCCTAGTATTGTCTGGAACGAATTATGTTTAAGCATAGCAAGTCCCAACAATTACAGGCAAGAGTTATAGTAATTATACACCCGGATCGATCAATTAAATAACCTTTCTTAGCTTTGGATCAGGAACTGAGTGAGTGAGTGAGTATGGTTTTACGCCGCTTTTAGCAATATTCCAGCAATATCACGGCGGGGGACACAGGAAATGGGCTTCACACATTGTTCCCATGTTGGGAATCGAACCCGGGTCTTCGGCGTGACGAGCGAACGCTTTAACCACTGGGCTACCCGACCGCCCCGGATCAGGAACTGAAAAACTACACTGACACAGATATATCTTTAGAGTGGAACAGAATAGTGACATATCAATACATTCGTTAGACCGTGTCTACATAAAAACTGCATTGTTTCTGTTGCTATAGAAGATTTGCGGGTAATCTTACACTTTGTGACAGATTCTAGAAGAATTCTTTCCCAGCTTATTTTATGAGTGAAGATTAGGATTTTTATTCGAAGGATTCTTGGTGATTTTAACTATATTTCAACATTTTTCTTTCTGTTCATTATATACATTACTTACTTGTCAGAATTATTTTGTTCGATCAATTGAATCAAGGTCCCTATCTACAGCATTATTGTTTCAACAACTCAAATCACTTCTCCAAAGATAAACTGAATGCTCCTGCTGTATTGGCGGTATACACGATGGCATAGGGAAAGGAAGATGAAGGGTACGTACATCCGTCAAGGAGGGCTAGAGCAGCAAGGATGAGGAAGGGGACCGCCTTCCCCGTGAACTCGTACATCACTCCGCCAAAGGGGGGCCCAACTGTAAACATACAACACGCTTGTATCTTTGTACAAGACACCTGGCATACGAGACAATAACCGGCGTCAGTCAGAACATATACCTGATAACGGAACAATTATATTTTACTGTTGAAGCATGTTTTAAATCGTTTATAAATCGTTTAACACACAAGAAGAAATACCTGAAACTGGAACCATTTTATTTTGCTGTTTTGGAATTTTGTAAATCTAAAGGTTCATTATTATTATTATTATTATTATTATTATTATTATTATTATTATTAATAGACAATTCATATTGCGCACACCACTCAAAGCGCTATTATTACCCCGGTCATTCAAGAATCATTCTCCGCTCCCTGGGGAGTATACAACCCAAGCTGCCTTTTAGGCGCTAGAAGGTTAACAACCAGAGTCACTTTTCGAACAGTGTAACACACAAGATGCTCACCGAGAACCGTAATTTCACAAACTGATTCTAAATTACGGGGAGTGAGCAAATGTTTGACCCGAATGTCCGTCGGCAGATCGCCGTGAGTATGAACAACTCTGAAACCAGTACAGAAAACAACGGTGCTGCTCCGTCTGTCCTGTGGAGCCGGTGGACGTAGTCTGGTGACCATGGACACACAAACAGATGGCGATATGACTTACCAAGAACCCCCATGGCCAACCCTCCAAGCGCTATGCCCATGGCGTTCCCCCTCTCCTTGTCATCCGGGTATCTGTCTGCCAGCATCCCCATGCCTGAAACAACATCAGCACCTTCGTCAAAGTGTTTACAACATCTCATACTGTATGAATATTATAACAGCTACAATAGCATATTACAAGCTTATGAGGGCATGGTTGGACTGGACACATCGGCTAAGCCGCAGCTACTCGCTGTGCAGAGTTGCGCCCCTTACGTTTCACAGACACTGTGATCGTGGTTCGAATCCCGGTTCGCTCTGATATGCTTCTAGACCCGTCAGCACCACACCTGCGCTCGTAGGTTTCCCCAAAGTTGTTAATGTCAAAAATTGGCATCACTTCGGGTTTTCCTCCCGCAACCTGTCATTGACACAAGGGCCAAAGGCTGAGTTCTTGCACATGTTTCTCATAACTGTTTAACTAAATATATGTGTGTGTCAGTGAAAGACCTAGAAGCGTGTATTTGTGACAAAAATACATTCGAGATCTTCGATGCGTTCTAATTCCAAAACCCACACGTACAAACCTCAGGGCCGGAATGTCCCTTCTGCAAGATGCTTTTATTCCTCTCAACGTCTTTGTTCATTTACACAAACCGAGCACACACTCTGCACTTCACTCTCTATTCCTCTCATCATTTATTTGCTCTCTCCCTCCCCACGCATTATTCACCCTTCTATCTTCCTGCCTTTCCTTATTTCCTCTCTACTCTATATCAGTCCTCCATGCCTCTCTAGTTTCTCTCACTATCCCCCTCATCTCTCAGCTCTTCTCTCTATCCCCTCATCTCTCAGCTCTTCTCTCTATCCCCTCATCTCTCAGCTCTTCTCTCTATCCCTCATCTCTCAGCTCTACTCTCTATCCCCTCATCTCTCAGCTCTTCTCTCTATCCCTCATCTATCAGCTTTTCTCTCTATCCCCTCATCTCTCATCTCTTCTCTCTATCCCTTTATCTCTCAGCTCTTCTCTCTATCCCCTCATCTCTCAGCTCTTCCCTTTATCCCCTCATCTCTCAGCTCTTCTTTCTATCCCATCATCTCTCAGCTCTTCTCTCTGTCCCCTCATCTCTCAGCTCTTCTCTTTATCCCCTCATCTCTCAGCTCTTCTCTCTATCCCCTCATCTCTCATCTCTTCTCTCTATCCCTTTATCTCTCAGCTCTTCTCTCTATCCCCTCATCTCTCAGCTCTTCCCTTTATCCCCTCATCTCTCAGCTCTTCTTTCTATCCCATCATCTCTCAGCTCTTCTCTCTGTCCCCTCATCTCTCAGCTCTTCTCTTTATCCCCTCATCTCTCAGCTCTTCTCTCTATCCCCTCATCTCTCAGCTCTTCACTCTATCCCTCATCTCTCAGCTCCTTTCATCATCCCCATCACCTCTCAACTCTTGTCACAATCTCCCAGCAACAGCTCAGATTTTCTCACTATCCCCAACAGTTTTTCATACTACCCCCGCAGGCCCTGAGCTCTTCTCACGATCCCCTCACATCCCCAGCTCTTCTTGCTATCTTCCCCTATCCACTTCTCTCCCTGTCACCCTCACTTCTCTCCCTATCACCCTCACGCCCTGAGCTCTTCTCACTGGCACCCCTTCCCCCTCTCACATCCCCAGCTCTCCCTGCTATCTTCCCCTACCCCCATATCTCCTTACTCAATCCCCCCCCCCCCCCCCCCATCCGAAATCCTCCCTCTATCTTACCCTCACCCCCTTCACCCCTTTTCCTTGCTCCCCTCTCATGTTAAACGGAGACCCTGATGCCGTGATCTGATTGTAACACGCCGTATGGCTGGCTCACAGCCCATCGATTCTTTGCCCTTTTCTGAATAGCAAGCGGCATTTCTTGATTGAATCTGATGCGCATGACTACACAGAATAATTGTGAAGTAATCAAAAATCAGAATTGCATATGCCTGTCTGTGAAGGGTTTGTGTTTGGTGACACCGGCCCTCAGAAATAATGGAATATATTCAAAGGATGTATTGATAACGCCAAATCACTGTAAACCCTGCTCGGTAGACGTGAAACTGCGAGAACGGAGAATAATGGCCTGAATTGCCCCTGCAATTGGCCCGCGCCATAACAACTACTCGGCAGGGCCCCTGTGGAAGTCCAAGTGGTCTTCAGAACAAACAGCCGTTGGACGCCAGCGTCAACGTTATTTCTAGACGGTCTACTTTCAATGTTAATTCATTTGCTAATTTCTTCTCAACCTTCCCACATTTCCTTGCTTTGAGATATTGCATCGTGACCTCTTAACAAATTTTATACTCACCTGGGTACATATGAACATTTCTAAAATTCACCTTAAAATGAAACCCAGAAAATTACATCGAGTTATAATACACCAAGATTCTCTGAGATTTCCGAGAACAAAATTAATAACATACAGAGCTACGTTGGACCCCCGTTTTCCCTTTTATTCCATATATTAGGTATGTTATGAAAACGACAAATGGTAACGGTTCTTGTCTTCGGCGAAATAAGAATCACCCTATCATTCTCATTCAATGATTAGTATCTCTTACAGCATCTTCGTCCTGATCAATACTAAAGCCATCCCTTGATCAGTATCTGCCATTTACGTCATCGTGATCCATATGCTCGTAATGACTGTCATCGTGATTAATATTCCGATCGCCGTGGTCGATGTCCGTGTCGCCACTGCCACCATTATCACTGTTGCTATCCAATTCTTTGTGATCAGGATTTTTAATTCAACGCTTCACTTTCATCACGACCAGCACCTTTGTCGTCACTGTCGCATCGGCAATAGCTTTGGTATTGGTATTGTGATTAATACATTTGTCAACTTTATCGAGAACTTTACACATTTCATCGTCGTCATCGAGATCATTACATACACCATTGTCGTCATCGAGAACATTACATCCGTCATCATCGTCATCGAGAACATAACATATGTCATCGTCATCATCGGGAACATTACATTTATCATTTTTGTCATAGAGAACATTAATATTACATATGTCATCACCATAATCGTAGAGAACATTAATTTTCATTTTCATCATCGTCATTAGAATATTACATTTGTTTAATCGACATAGAAACCATTTCATATGTCATCATCGTCATCGGGAACATTACATATGACATCGTCATCATCGTCATCATCGACAATTTTACATATGTCATCATCGTTACCGTGAACATTACATTTGTCATTATCATTTTTCATCGCCGTCATCATGAATATTAAAAGTTATCATCGTCATCGAAACCATTTCATATGTCATTTTCATGATTGAGAACATTTCATATGTCATCATTGTCATCGAGAACATTACATTTGTCATCATCGTCATTGAGGACACTACATTTGTCATCGTCGTCATCGAGAACATTACATTTGTCATCATCATCATCATCGAGAACCAAACATTTGTCATCGTCGTCATTGAGAACATAACATTTGTCATCATCGTCATCGAAACCATTTCATATGTCATTTTCATGATTTTGAACATTTCATATGTCTTCGTCGTCATCGAGAACATTACATTTGTCATCGTCGTCATCGAGAACATTTCATTTGTCATCATCGTCATTGAGAACATTATTTTGTCATCGTCGTCAATGAGAACGTGACATTTGTCATCGTTATCATCGAGAACATTACATTTGTCATCGTTATCATCGAGAACATTACATTTGTCATCGTCGTCATCGTGCTCAATTATGTTATTGATGTCTTTGATGTGTGTAACACCATTGTCATTATCGGAGCCTGTCGTTGGTTCTGAACAACATATCTTCTACGTAAATGTAAAATAATGAGGAATGATTACACAGTAAGTTTCAGTTTCATATTAAAGAAACGGTTCATATGAAGTAACGATTCATATAAAAAGTAATGATTCATAATCAAGAAGTGATTCATACTAAAGTAGTGATTCATATTAAAGTAATTATTCACATTAAAGTTATCATTCATATTTATTACAGATTCATATGAAAGTACTGATTCATATGAAAGTAGTGATGCATATTAATATAAGGATTCACATTAACGTAATGCTTCATATTAAAATAATGCTGTAATCATGACTGTAATTTCATATTGCTACCCGATATTGTTTAGGGAAGCAAATCAATGAGACTTCTACATAAGCAAATAGTAATTAATTTTGGTCTTCACGGTAGGTTCGAAATATTGTTTGACGTAATATATTCAAATGTCACGAAATAGACGCATGATATTTAATTAAGACATTTCTGTCGTTGTGTTTGTCATATAGCTAGGCCATTCTGGGCACTTGTCCCATCTGCAAATGTCAATGCTGTTTTAAGATACTGTTTGTTCAAGACATCGTCATAAACTATTTCCGGTCACATATGTCCCGCACCAACAGACAACGGGATCCATTTATTGGTCAATAAAGTATTCGGTGGTTACTCCTGAATAATTCACGTCTAGAAAGTCTAACCGAAAAAGACGCCAACAGTTCCTACCAAAGGGAGATAAATACCGATATTGATTTACCCATGTTCTATGCGACTACTCAAGAACCCCGCTTCGGTCTCACACTACTTCCGGTTACTTCTTTGACGAAAGGTCAGAGTGACAGATCTGGATTAAAAGGATTTATTTACGCTGGGATTAAAATCTTCCCGTCGACTATGTACGAATCGAGTGTATGGAGTAGGCTTGCGTTAAAAGCCATCTTGTAAGGAGGCCCCGGTAGGCTTCGTGAAAAGACAAATTAACAGCTTTAGACGTCTGTGTATGACCAGGAATGGACGATAGAAATGACATGACGAAGGTCACCTCTAGAGACATTCAATTATGGCGTCTATTACTCTCATTCCTTTTCATCGTCCCCAAAAATAAAGATGGACTCTTTTTTATCGTGATTGAGCCATCTATTTGTATCGTGAGCTTCACCACCCCTTGGCCTAAAGTTTAACCATTGAGCCCGGGCTTGACTCCAGTACTTGGTAAGATGGCGTATTTTGTCTTTGATAATGATGACGCTACCTCGTCAAACTTGTAACAACTTCTTATATCGTTCTGATGGGGTGTTGTGTTTTATGAAAGATGGTCGGTCTCAGACAGTAGATATTTAGATGTTACACTTGTGCTTTTGTATGTATAGATCTATGTAAATATAAAACGTCACTGCCAGAGAATAATCAGTCTCGGACTATCTGCAGAAACAGATTCTATAGGCAAAATAGTGGAGTCCTATATGAATGGATCACTGTAATGGCAACCAGTGCCTTACTTTCAAAAATACAAATAAGAAATATAAAGGTTTGCTACGAATATATATCTATACTTTCAATTAATATGAACACTTTTTTACCTAGCGTCCGCCCGGAGAGCGGAATGTCCGGGGTTCGATCCCCGGTCGCGTCATACCAAAAGACGTTAAAAGATGGTACTTGTTGTTACCCTGTCTAGCGCTCTGCATTAAGGGGCTAAAACAATGACTGGTGGGCTCGGAGTCAGTATACTGTGTTTGAGTGGGGTATTCGTGTTAAACTGCGGCATGGTATCTCATTGGGCTAGCACTATAAGTCGGCATCAGTCCGGACTAGTACAAGCAGCCACACCCACGTGCATGCACATAAGTGCAATAATCTTGGACGCGACGTTAAACCCTATTTCACCTCATCTCATTTTTACCTTCAGGAATATGTCAGTCTGACTTTTGACTCAACATATGCCAAGTAAAGACTTAACTCACGAGAGTAACACATTATTAGATTCAAAATGCTGTCGTGACCTTGGTCAAGTTCCCTTTTTTGTTCTTGGGCATGGCTATACTACAGACAGAGGCAGAGTATACTCACCGGCGACACTGGAACACGAGGACCCTATTCCCTGTACAGTTCGAGCTATAAACAACACGGTGTAACTCTGTCCAAAGGCAAAAACTGAAATGAAAGAGTGTATGAAATAGAAGGGCACTACACAGATCTACAATTATCTCAATCATACATATAAAAATAATAAGTGCATTAATAATGCGCCAGATTCCATTCACCAAGAAGATGCTCATAACGCTACGCTATTATTACCCGGTCAATGGATCAGTGAGCACTCGATTTTCATTCTCAGCTCCCTGGGGAGTATACACATATCAGTATGAGTAAATGAATATTTAATGCCACAGTGGCACTATCCCAGCTATATCACGGCAGCGGGTAACAATCAAGTCTGGGTCAGACAACCCAGTGACTGAAAGCATGAGCAACAATCGACCAGGGAATGATGACGCGCAAGTCACCGAGCCTGACCATCCGATCACCTTTAAAGGGCGCGATAGGTAAAGGCTACTTCCCCGTGGTATCGACGGGTAAGCATATATGTAAGTCTCACGTTCATAGCGATGACCTCATATAGCTGAGTGAGTGAGTTAGGCTTCCCCCAGCTTTAGTAATATTCCATCTATATCAAGGAGGGAAACACCAGAAATGGGTTTTATAAATTGTACCAATGAGTTGATTCGAACCCGGGCCTTCGGCACAACAAGCGAACGGATTAACCACACGGCTACTCCACTGCCCTGATGTCACATGGCAATGAGTGAATGAAGGATACAATCTGCTATGAACTGAGACCATGCCTGAAGAAGTGTAATGTTATTTACACAATTATGAAACATTAAATTGTAACTCCCGTTTAATATTAAAAAAAAAAACATTACGCCACTATGAAACTCTTGAAGTTAAAACATATAGGTTTCAATAGTTGCAAGTGTCATGACGACGTGAACTCCAATATTTACAAATAGTTGATACTATCATGGTAATGTGTACTAGAATACTTACTAATAGTTGATACTATCATTGCAATGTATACTCGAATACTTACTAATAGTTGATACTGACATGGCAATGTATACTCGAATACTTACTAACAGTTGATACTATCATGGCAATGTATACTCGAATACTTACTAATAGTTGATACTGACATGGCAATGTATACTCGAATACTTACTAATAGTTGATACTATCATGGCAATGTATACTCGAATACTTACTAATAGTTGATACTGACATGGCAATGTATACTCGAATACTTACTAATAGTTGATACTGACATGGCAGTGTGTATTCGAATACTTACTAATAGTTCATACTGACATGGCAGTGTGTACTCGAATACTTACTAATAGTTCATACTGATATGGCAATGTATACTCGAATACTTACTAATAGTTGATACTATCATTGCAATGTATACTCGAATACTTACTAATAGTTGATACTGACATGGCAATGTGTACTCGAATTCTTACTAATAGTTGATACTGACATGGCAATGTATACTCGAATTCTTACTAATAGTTCATACTGACATGGCAATGTATACTCGAATACTTTCTAATAGTTGATACTGACATGGCAATGTGTACTCGAATACTTACTAATAGTTGATACTGACATGGCAGTGTGTACTCGAATACTTACTAATAGTTGATATTGACATGGCAATGTATACTCGAATACTTACTAATAGTTGATACTATCATTGCAATGTATACTCGAATACTTACTAATAGTTGATACTGACATGGCAATGTATACTCGAATACTTACTAATAGTTGATACTAACATGGCAATGTATACTCGAATACTTACTAATAGTTGATACTGACATGGCAATGTGTACTCGAATACTTACTAATAGTTGACACTGTCATGACAAAGAATCCAACAAACATTGGAATACTGTAACCAACCCTGCGGAGATAGAAAAGCATGATGAGACTGTACACATATACAAAGTGATGTCTTGATATAATTTCAATTTAAACTTTCTCTTTCAATAATATAAGTTTGTAAAGTTAATAGAGCAGTTCATATACATACAATTATTTTGTAAAATATATCTATATTGTCCTCTTTGTGTGATATATTGTCCTCTTTGTGTGATATATTACCCTCTACGTGTGATACATTACCCTCTATGTGTGATATATTACCCTCTACGTGTGATATATTACACTCTATGTGTGATATATTAAACTCTATGTGTGTAATGTATTACCTTCCATGTGTGATATCTTACCCTCTATGTGTGATATATTACCCTCTATGTGTGATACATTACACTCTATGTGTGACATATTACCCCTATGCGTGATATATTACCCTCTACGTGTGATATATTACACTCTATGTGTGATATATTACACTCTATGTGTGTAATGTATTACCTTCCATGTGTGATATCTTACCCTCTATGTGTGATATATTACCCTCTATGTGTGATATATTACCCTCTATGTGTGATACATTACACTCTATGTGTGACATATTACCCCTATGCGTGATATATTACCCTCTACGTGTGATATATTACACTCTATGTGTGATATATTACACTCTATGTGTGTAATGTATTACCTTCCATGTGTGATATCTTACCCTCTATGTGTGATATATTACCCTCTATGTGTGATACATTACACTCTATGTGTGACATATTACCCCTATGCGTGATATATTACCCTCTATGTGTGACATATTAATCTATTTTTGACATATTACCCCTATGCGTGTGTGATTTAATACTCTCTATGCATTGCATTATACTCAATGTGATACATTTCCCTCTTTACGTCATACATTGCCCTCTTTACGTCATACATTGCCCTCTTTACGTCATACATTGCCCTTTCTGTGTCAAACATTGCCTTCTCTTTGTAATATATTGTCTTGTGCGATACATTGGCCTCTCTATGTGAAACATTACCCTCTCTTTGTAATATATCGTCCTGAGTGATAAATTGGGCTGTGATATATATTGTCCTCTCTATGTGATACATTGCCCTCTCTCTGTAATACATTGCCCTGTCTTTGTAATATATTGTCCTGTGTGATAAATTAGCCTGTGTAATATATTGTCCTCTCTATGTGATACATTGCCCACTCTCTCTGTGTAAAACATTACCCTCTTTGTGATATATTGTCCTCTGTGATAAATTGTCGTGTGTAATATATAGTCCTCTCAATGTGATACATTGTCCTCTCTATGTAAGATACATCGATGAGATATATTTCCCTCGCTTCCTGATATATTGCCCTGCCTAAGTGGTATATAGCCATATGTATGACACGTTGCGCTAAACTACCTATGTGATATACTGCACACATACCTGTTCGTCAGAGGTCCAATAAACGGGTTGGTAAGCAACTGCATTATAGCTTTAGAAGCAAACATAAGCCCAACTTGCACATTTTCATTCGCAAGGGCCTTATGATCGAGTTTATTGTCAGTCGTGATGACGTTGGTAAGGTTTGTTTCATTGCTATATACACATATATACGGCACTGACGTCGTCATGACGTAATGGCGGGGAATATCCGAAAGTCCATCCCATGAATAACCACGAGAATCCTCTGAACTATTTTTAATATCAGTTGTAGGAAAATATCTTTCATCTGGGACCAGCGTACACACTGTAACCGTCTGGTTTATAACTTTAACTGTCGTCGTATTCTTCCTGTGGCTCTTCTCCAGCCTCCTCAGAAAGTTCGGCACAACCGGAACTGACAACAAGGAAAGGATACAGTGAGCATGGCTGTCGTTGACGAAAAGGATGGGGCATGATAAAGGTCCTTGCTGACCACTACCACTTAATACTTGCATTTCCTCTGAATTTACGTTTTGAATTTATCTGAAGTACAGATTTATGTTTTTCTTAACTCGACTTCAAAACATTACGGCTCATCTAGCCATCGTGCATGTAATTACATTTTTTTCATTTCCGTGACAAGAAAAAAACCAGAAGCATTTGTCATTTCTACATTCATACATCTTTGTGTATTTATTATACAAACTGTAACTAATTCAATTCCTAATTATGTGTTGTCACTTAACTTGTCACGTATAAATACACTATGGGGTATGTTTGCGTTATGTTTTCAGACGGCTTCATGGTTCAGTCGGGTGTGTCGAATCTCGGATAAGTCGAACAATTATCTGGTATCCAGGAGTTCGAGACAACGGGGTTCGAGTTTATATTAATCTAATATCTCAAATATTAACTTGCGCAAGCGCCACCTACCGACAGTTGTGAGGAGCATGTTGTCGAGGAACAACGCGATGAAGACTATGATGAGAACGAGGCGCCGGGACTGACGGCATTTGGCTACACACCCTCCCCAGCTGGAGGTGGAGATACACTCCTTAATGTTGGTGGTGGACAGGAACTCCTTCACCGTCATCGTGTCTAGGTGGAGCTGCTCGTGTAGAACCTGCAAGAAAAGGTAGTGTTGAGTTGGGTGTACCGCAGCTTACAGTGAATGAGTGAGTATGGTTTTACGCCGCTTTTAGCAATATTCCAGCAATATCACGGCAGGGGACACCAGAAATGGGCTTCACACATTGTACCCATGTCGGGAATCGAACCCGGGTCTTCGGCGTGACGAGCGAACACTTTAACCACTAGGCTCCCCGACGGCCCCCGCTGCTTACAATAATACGTTCATTACTGGTATTAGTTACTACAGCAATGTTACGCGATGGGCACCAAGAATGGGCAGAATACATTGTATCCATATCATGCAATTCAACCCTTGCCTTATGCGTGATGAATTTTAATTTGAGTTTATTAAGGTTTTCAAATTAGATTTCTCAGGGAAATTTAAAGTCACTGTGACATTCACCTTGACCTCGACTTTTGATGACGTTAGGTAGGACGTGTCCAGGGTGTTATCATTATAAGGTAGACACAATTTTATGGATAACAACTTCTTTAATACTGTAAAAAGCGACGTTTCGGTGTAGATCCTTATACCGTTGTCAAGCAAGAGTGAATGAGGGACTTAGTACAGGATATGTATTGTAGGTGGAGGATTAACAGTAACAACAATTGCATATATGAGTGGGATAACATAGGTAAGGTGTTGCCAACAAGGGGAGTGGGATAACATAGATAGGTGTTGACAACAAGGGGTTATCATTATTTTACACGTGAGAGAATTTGTTTGGAAAGTATTGCTTCTGTTTTGGGGATGCAGTTCATGTTATATAATAGATGCGACGATGGGTGCCTCTATGGCGTTTACGTTGTATTAGTAACATTGATAATACTGTGCTGCCAAACAATTGATCTAAATTGCCCAGAAAGAACCAAGAACTAAAGATATAGTGTTTGTTGTTATTTAACGCCGCTCTCGGCAATATTCCAGCTATATGACGGTCTGTAAATAATCGAGTCTGGATCAGACAATCCAGTGATTGACATCATGAGCATCGATCCATGCTATCAGGATACGATGATATGCATCAACCACGTCAGCGAGCCTGACGACCCGATCCCGTTTGTCGCCTCGTACGACAACGATGCTTGCTGAAGACCTCTTCAAACCCGGATCTTCACGGGTCCCAAAGGTAAGGCGAGTCTGGTTGTAGCAGTATTCCAACAACACCAGAAATACATCGATACATTGCTACATTGATACATTGATACACTGTTCCCATGCGAGGGAGAATCGAACATGGCCCTTCAGCGTGACGAGCGACCACTTTAACTACTGGGCTACGCCAATCAAAGGTACGTATCGGTGACACCATCAACATTCAACACCGCAATGAGACGGTGTTCAGAAGCTGCGTTTTAACACCGGGGCCCACTTGCACAAAGCGATCTTAGCGCTAAGATTATTGTAAGCCAATGTTAAAGTATGGGAGTTATGATCATCTTAGCGCTAATATCGCTTTGTGCAAGTGGGCCCGGGTGTTGGGGAAAGAGACACTGGGTGAGTCGATGTGAAATCATGACAGGTTGTTCTGTGGCAACAAAGCTTTTACCACGACTGAACCGCACCCTTGACGCACGCTCTTGGAGAATCCATCTAAATGGCTGCAAAGTAATATGTGTCTGCACTGAAAGGGGGCGCTAAACGTTAATTATACGTCGAAATTCCACCACTCGGTGTACCATTTGCCGTGACAGTAAAATATGTACACGATGACAGTAAGCATGACCTTGTTTCTCATTAGCTAAGTGCTATACCTACTGGCAGTAATCACAAATAGACACTGGGTTGCTACTGTGTATGTTCAGGGCAATCGATAGTGACGTGCTCATCTTAGCATGTAGTGCACATATACAGTCCCGGCCTATGGAAATGCTAACAGTTGATTTGGAGGCTCGGTTTTATCAACAGCGTATTTTATTTCTTGGTTTACTGTGCAAGCGGTACTGTTACAAGGTGTGTTGGCTGTTTACATGGGATGGTGGGTTGTTTTGTCATGAGTAATCCTTTCACAAATGTCATCACAGTTCAGGATAGCTTTATTCCGTGTACTGCCTTTGTTAAATGATTGAGTCACCTGGCGATTGACCAAATTTAGGCTTCACTTTGACCATGTACGGAATAGAACCCGGACAATAAGCGAACACTGTGACCACAGGGCTACCGCTATGTTCGTGTCATATAACGACAGGTGTGTGTGTGTGTGTGTGTGTGTGTGTGTGTGTGTGTGTGTGTGTGTGTGTGTGTGTGTGTGTGTGTGTGTGTGTGTGTGTTGTATAGATATAGATATATAGATATATATATTATAGATATAGATATATATACAGATATATATATATATATGTACGTATGTGTTTATATACATAGATAGATAGATAGGTAGAAAGATAGATAGATAGATAGATAGATAGATAGATAGATAGATAGATAGATAGATAGATAGATAGATAGATGTTTATATCACAAGTGCACTATATATATATATATACTGACGAGCAATATCAAAGTATTTTATACCTTTATCGGTCAAATCAAACTTTCTTTTTCCAGGCAGTTTATATTGCTCATGTGTGTGTGTGTGTGTGTGTGTGTGTGTGTGTGTGTGTGTGTGTGTGTGGTGTGTGTGTGTGTGTGTGTGTGTGTGTGTGTGTGTGTGTGTGTGTGTGTGTGTGTGTGTGTGTGTGTGTGTGTGTGTGTTGTATAGATATAGATATAGATATATAGATATATATATTATAGATAGATAGATATATACAGATATATATATATATGTATGTATGTGTGTATATACATAGATAGATAGATAGATAGATAGATAGATAGATAGATAGATAGATGTTTATATCACAAGTGCACTATATATATATATATACTGACGAGCAATATCAAAGTATTTTATGCCTTTATCGGTCAAATCCAACTTCCTTTTACCAGGCAGTTTATATTGCTCATGTGTGTGTGTGTGTGTGTGTGTGTGTGAGTGTGTGTGTGTGTGTGTGTGTGTGTGTGTGTGTGTGTGTGTGTGTGTGTGTGTGTGTGTGTGTGTGTGTGTGTGTGTGTGTGTGTGTGTGTGTGTTGTATAGATATAGATATAGATATATAGATATATATATTATAGATAGATATATATATATACAGATATATATATATATATGTATGTATGTGTGTATATACATAGATAGATAGATAGATAGATAGATAGATAGATAGATAGATAGATAGGTAGATAGATAGATAGATAGATAGATAGATAGATAGATAGATAGATAGATAGATAGATAGATAGATGTTTATATCACAAGTGCACTATATATATATATACTGACGAGCAATATCAAAGTATTTTATGCCTTTATCGGTCAAATCCAACTTTCTTTTTCCAGGCAGTTTATATTGCTCATGTGCTTTATCAACAAAGTGCGTCCATCGTACAGGCTGTATCGTGTCTGTTCCCATTCTACCTCCTCCGACCACAAGGTCCACCTCTCACGTAGGAGGTATTTGTCTAAGGGTGAGCACTGGGGTTCACTGAAGCGTGGAAACAGTGGTCGGATCGGAGGGCGGGCCGTTTGACAAGATCGACTGATGGATAACGATCTGAATCTAACAGTCCTACCCAAGCCTTTCATCATCCCGGGCCGTATGTTGCTGAGCCTGGTCACAGCCATACAATGTCATCGCACCCGAGTTCGAGGGGGGGTTATAACACAGACGACCATGATGAGAACTAGAGTTCAAATATTTGTCAGAGTGGAAACCTGTCACAGAAACACGAAAAGATCATTACCCACTTCGACATGACTATACACCGACCGGTGGGAACGTTCTGCTTTATCAAGAAATCGATGCCGATGTACGCTGTTTTCAAAAGATGCGCACTTGGTGCAAACCTATAGCGCGACATAGGGCACTTGGGTGTAAGATATACTACTTGTTGACATTTATATACATAACTGTAGAAGCGTATTAACATACAGTTAATCAACCGTCAAAGGGCAACTGGTGGATTTTGCCGATAGCAAGGATTGAGAATATCAAAAGATGTAGAAAACTTTGATGTGAAATACCACATGCTGTAATGATGCTTTGATATAAACAATATAACTTATTGATGAAACGTGGTCAGGCCACATTTGAGCATACATGAAAATCTTAAATTTTCTTTAAAATTGCCACAAATTAGTAGGATTAAGTAAACTGATTTGAATTATGTGTCATGATATTTGTAGAAACACCTTTATATATTTCTTCCTTAGTATGTGCTAATGAAACAGCTTGCTGAAGTTTGTAAATACCTTTGACCAAGACTGGCCACAGCGTGGAGAGTTTCTGGACAAATGGGTTTCCCGAATTAAAATGGAAAGTATAATATACTTTATACGTTTTCATAATTGACAATGTTAGCTGTTAGGAAATTAGGAAATAAAGTTGCTCTACCCCCATGTATAGTGTGATAAAGTATAGTGCTGCCCTGAAGTATTACAGTTTAAGCACGAGAACGAGGACGCAGATTGGGTAAGTATTCGAAACGCCTCTAAGAACCCGGCGGGCGACCCCTTTAGTTGCCGTGGGACAGTTACGGAAGGGAAGGAAACCCCTTTCGATTCCACTGAGCGCAAAAAGCAAAATAGTGGTGAAAATATTTATATTGATCAATGAAAATCAGTGATGACACCAGGTGTTCGCGAAAAAGGTATCAAGTCCTGCTCTACCGGCAGCACCCGCCACTTACACAATATGGATTAAAAAGTAAGTGCGTGTTGCCAAACGCCACCAGCAGTGAATGATATAAAAAAAATAAGCGCTTGTTTTTTGCCTAACGCCTCACAGCAATACGACGCGGCCTGTAAACAATCTAGTTTTACTCAGACAATACCTTATATGTCTGACGATTAAGATGGTTCCGAATATATAAAACACTTTGGCAACAGTAATTGAAACATCAAACCTGTAGGGTTTCACATTGGTGTTTGGGTTTCCTGAAAAGTAGGCTA